TTAGTGAACGATGTATAAAATGGGCAATTCATCCAAAGAGCTTGTCATGATGCTGGATGATATATAGCATATAATGTAAAAATAGATTATTAATCAATAGATATCTTAATGGATAGGTGACCATACAGTGACACATGTACATATATATATATATATATAATCCTTCAACCAGAAACTGTGTGATGTGTATTACCAGGCAACTGCATGTACTTCATGATCGGACGATGGAGAATCCATGTCTCAGGTGGATAATATTGGATCAGTAATATTGAGTAATCAGCAGCAGAGGGAGATCCTGTGCTTACCTCTATAGCTGCAGGCTGATCCTGTGTGTGGAACGCACGTCAGTATAGCGTGGTCGTGACTGCGCATGCGTGGACGCATATGCGCATGCGCAGTATGCGGAGGACAGGTCCGTCGGCGCGATCACGTGAGCGCACGTCAGGCACATCTGACGGCCACTGCGCACGCGTAAAACCGGCACCACTCTATTGGGCAAGATTCCAGGCCTGCCACCCGCCCCCACCCTCTGACGAGGCTCTAGTTAGGGGAACTGTCTGGGGATTCCCCTCTGACGAACTTGCTGTTGAGTCCCCGTAATGTCCAATCAAATGGGGCAGTCAAAAAGGCCCTGGCTGCCACAATAAAAAGGTGTGATATAGTGGAAGACGTCAGCATAAGCATATATATATATACATATATATGCGTATATCACCTTGGATGGATATGACAGTAGTGTTGCCGGTGGATATGAAATATGAAATATACATGCATGTGTCCACATGAACGTCATCCATGCATCATATATATAAAAAATAAAAATATAACTCTATACACATAACTGCACATTAGATATAGAGGTAAAAATCACGATAATAAACGCTTTAACACCATATTACTGATAAAAGACATTAAAATGATAAAATGATAATACTACTGATAGTGAGAAAACCTAATATTAAGATACTATGATCAAGCATAAAAGGCCACCACTTACACCTCCAACCTGAAGCAATCTATTATTTTTTGCGCATGCGCATATTGGTCCACGCATGCGCAGTCACGACCACGCTATACTGGCGTGCGTTCCACACACAGGATCAGCCTGCAACTATAGAGGGAAGCACAAGATCTCCCTCTGCTGCTGATTACTCAATATTACTGATCCAATATTATCCACCTGAGACATGGATTCTCCATCGTCCGATCATGAAGTACATGCAGTTGCCTGGTAATACACATCACACAGTTTCTGGTTGAAGGATTGTATATATATGTACATGTGTCACTGTATGGTCACCTATCCATTAAGATATCTATTGATTAATAATCTATTTTTACATTATATGCTATATATATCATCCAGCATCATGACAAGCTCTTTGGATGAATTGCCCATTTTATACATCGTTCACTAATGAATCATGTAATAATATTAACTATTTACTATTTATTATTTATCATGTATTATCTATTATCATCATTTCCATTGCTGTTATCCCCCAGTTGATATATTGCATGAATATTAAGTGGTTTATGCAACATGTGGTTTTATATATTATATATTTTATGTTTTTTTATATTGTTTCTCTCTGATGGCATTACAAATAGCTATTTTCTGTTGACGATACCTTGGCCCCTCCTACTAACCTGAGACTGCCCAACCCAGAGGGGAGGGCCTAATTTCAGTCCTGGGATACATATAGGAGAGAGCCTCCCAGTTCAGTTAGCTCTGATGAAGAAGGGACACCCTTCGAAATGCGTCAGCTATGCTGAATACCCATCCCCTTGATGGGATTCGCGCTATCTTCAAGTCCCTTTGAGGACTTACATGCCTGATTTCATTCGCTGTTTGTGAGTATATTTTTTACAATTAATAAATTTTGGTTACTGATGTAATGCGCAAGGTTGGTGTGCTTCTCGTTTTCATTTCATTCTGCATTAATGTTTCAGCTGTCAGCGGGGTTCCCCACTGACAGCTGAATGTAAAAAAATTTTCTTAAAATTAAATAAATAATTTAAAAAACTGCGTGGGGTCCCCCCTCCCATCCATACCAAGCCCTTCGGGTCTGGTATGGATATTAAGGGGTAACTCCACACCGAAAATGTAAAAAACAATGGCGTGGAGTCCCCCCTAAAATCCATACCAGACCCTTATCCGAGCAAGCAGCCCGGCAGTTCAGGAAAGGGGGGGGGTGAGCGCCCCCCCTCCTGAACCATACCAGGCCACATGTCCTCAACATGGGGGGGTGCTTTGGGGCAGGGGGGGCTTTGGGGCAGGGGGGCTCCCCCCCAAAGCACCTTGTCCCCATGTTGATGGGGACAAGGGCCTCTTCCCCATAACCCTGGCCGGTGGGTTGTGGGGGTCTGTGGGTGGGGGGCTTATCAGAATCTGGAAACCCCCTTTAACAAGGGGGCCCCCAGCTCCCGCCACCCCCCCCCCCCACGTGAATGAGTATGCGGTACATGGCAAAAGTGTAGTGTAAAAAACCACAGTACAAGGTCTTTGACAAGTCCTTTAATAAAACAATATCCCCCGAAGTAGATCCAACATCAATCAAGGTGTTTCGCGGCGGCCGTTGTATTTTTTTTTTTTTATAATTCCCTGCAATGCTTTTACATTCAGCTGTCAGTGGGGAACTCCGCTGACATGCCAAATTGCACCCAATGTGACTGGGGGCTAACACCACAGTCACATCTAATCCGATTTGGAAATTGGGCAACTTACAGTGAAGCCGCACGCAGGGGTGGACTGACCATTCGAGCACTCGGGCACTGCAGATCTCTCTGCAAATCGCATGAAAAGTAGTGTATTCATTACTTTAGAAATTGTTGCGGCTGCAACCAAGTTTGAACCACACCAATATGAACGCTCTAATAGCAGTCACATTGAGTGCGACTTGGCATGTGATTTGCATGACATGCGACTTGCAAATCGTATGCCAAGTCGCACCCCATTGTCTGCTATTAGAGCAGTCACATGGGTGCGTTTCCGACACTGATTTCTAAAGTAGTACATGTACTACTTTTGTGGCGATTTGCATAGATATCTGTGTCAGATGTCTTGCAAATCGCAAGGAAATCGAAATCTTCACTGTATGTTGCACAATTTCTAAATTGGCTTTGATGTGACCGAGGTGTAAGGCCTTTTTATGTTTGATTTCCTGAGTGTTTTTTCCAATTTATGGGAAATGCCGCATACTAGCAAAAGTGAATTGACATTTTCAGTATTGCATGCGAGATGTGGCAATGATGTGTGTTTATTACTTTTGTGGCGTACATGTTATTTGCTTGCTTTCAAGTTTGCTTTATTCTGATGCTGTGATTTGTGTGGGCCTGTATACCAAGGGTTTTTGTACTGCAGGTGGAAGAGAATATTAATCAGGTTGTGACAAACACTTTCTCTGACCATAATGAATGACAGTGGTAGGGGTGTGGCCTACCTTAATATATTACCCTTAGAGATGCAGTAAGTGGATGTCCAAATTGATTTTTTTGAGCCATGTACACAAGCCACATATATTGAATTCACAGTGCAAGTCCATTTGCACTTTCTGTGGCAGTACTAGGGTTGCGGGAGGAAGCGATATTGTCCGATCCCTCACCACGCTGTGGTTTACATGATGGGCTCTGTAATGTATGAATCTTTGCATGTTCTTCCTTAACCTAACAGATGTCCTTGGAGTTTCGGCAGTGTGAGAAAGCAATCTTGTACAATGAGCCATGGCTGTGAAACTTAGAGATGAGCGAAGTACTTCAATAATCTTTGCATTCGTTAAAATTGATTCGAGGAGAATTTATTCGCTGCGATTAATTTAGCTTGTCTGCTCTTCCAAGTTTGCTTTATTTACACTGAAATGCAGTTTTCAGACAAACCTGATGCTAGAAAACCACTGTATGTGTGGGGAGTCAACCAGGGCGCCCCAAAACCAGAGTGTAGTGTTTTATTTTGGCGGTGGATGGCAGCAGCACTGTGTTTTTTTTTATTTTACCCTATGGACCATGTATGGTAATTTTATATCTGATTATACCTTGAATCTGGCAGCTTGTTTTTGTGGCGATAAGCCTAAATGGGATTCATATTAATGACCGTTTCTTGTTATCCTGTTTGTACCCTGAGATGAAAGCACAGTGTCATTTAGAGAAGTAAAATCTTTTTAGATATCCTTGTAAGCAGCGTTATGAGCAGGTGAGGCCGTTCAATATTTTAACCAACATCAAACCTGGTGTTGTTTAATTCTTTTACCAATGAAATGGGAAATGTACCAACTTGTTGTTGCAGTCGACAAAAAAATGTGGAGATGATGTATTTGAGCAATAGGACAGCAACATTAGGGACGATATGCAGGGATTTTACCCATGGTGGTGTATCATAGTTCAATGTTCGCATTGAGGACTGTAGCACAGGTGGCCTAAAATGGTTTAGCCACTTCCGCCTGGCAGCATACTGGAGTCAGTTCGGGTTGTATGGATTGAACATCATCCCAGCCATGAAACCTCTGGCAGCGCTAATGGAGTTATGCCTATATCAGCACCCTGTGCCTGTGTGGAATTCCTCCGGGATACTCTGTGGTTTCCTCCCACATTTAAAGACATGCCGATGGATGAAAGGGTTAATTGGATCCTGACCCTGACAATTTTTCCTATTATAGTATGATGTAATCTAAAGATTAAGGACTTTACGGGCAACATATATAAGTTTATTTGACATCGTACATCTAGCCCAATTCAACACCTAAGCAGCAAGTCTTAGGAGTGTTGGCAGAAACACACATCGTACATAGAAAAGCAATGCAAACTGATGACTGCAGAACAGGTGCAGGCCACTCTGGAGTGAATAGAACTAGAGATGAGCGAAGTATTCCAAAAATTCGATTCATTCGGCTGATTCGGCGAATTCGAGGAATAAATTACGATTCGGTAGTAGAAGTAATCATGCGCGAGTGCAGAACATCACTAACTGGCAGCAAAAAAGGGAGTTTCTAGGCTTCCGAGAGCCTTTATATTATGTGCATAACACTGTACCTTATAAATAAAATGCCCATGGAAGTCTGTGCTGGGGAAGACCTGAAATAAAACATGTCGTTTAGTGTCAGAGAGTATGCATAGCAACTGATGAGTGCCGTCCATACTAAAGATCACCGTCACACTTCACACATTTTGGGCATTCGCCCCGTGGTTCCAAAACCCAGAGTGTGTAGAGCCAACAGTGTGGCGGTGGAGGCAGTGCAGCAAGCAGAGGGAGGCCATACAGCACACCTATGACAAAATGGAACCCACTCAGCAGTGTGAGGAGACCTGAAAGTGGCACAATGGCAGAGTGTGGCGATGGAGACAGCAGCAAAGGGAGGCCGTACAGGGACCCATTGACACACTCATGGACCCTTGGCAGCAGCATGAGGAGGCGGTACAGGTGGCCCATGACAGATTACGGGGACCTGTGCAGCAGCATTGAGAGTCGGTACACGGGAGCCCATGGCAGATTACGGAGCCTGGCAGCAGCATGGAGGCGCCGAACAGCACCCTAATGAACAAAATGGAACCTACCAGCAGCTGTGAGGAGACCTGAAAGTGGCAATGGCAGAGTGTGGTGCGATGGAGACAGCAGCAATGGGAGGCCGTACAGGGACCCATGACACACTCTTGGACCTGGCAGCAGCAAATGAGGAGGCGGGTACAGAGGGGCCCCATGACAGATTACGGGCCTGGCAGCAGCACATGAGGAGTCCGTTACGTGGCCCATGCCATATTACGGCCTGGCATGGTAGCATACAGCACCCTATGACAAGAATGGAACACACCTAAGCAGTGTGAGGAGGACCAGAAAGTGGCACAATGTCATAGTGTCGGCGATGGAGACATGCATGCAATGGGAGTGCCCGTAGCAGGGTACCCAAGACACACCTTGTGGCCTCGGCAGCAGCATGAGGGGCTCGGTACCACGGGGCCCATATGGCAGATTATACGCGGCCAAGGGCAGCAGCAATGGTGGGAGGCCCGTAATCTGCCAGACCCTATGACAAAATGGATACCCACCAGCCAGTAGTAGGGAGAACTGAAAGTGGACATGGCAGAGGTGAGGCGATGGAGGAAGCAGCAATGGGAGGCTAGTACAGGGACCCATGACACACTCTGGTAACCTGGCAGCAGCATGAGGAGGCCGTACAGTGGCCCATGACAGCATCACGGGTCGCTGGGCAGCACATGAGGTGAGTCGGTTACGGGGTGGGGGGCCCCCCCATGGCAGATTAACGGGCACATGGCAGCAGCAAAATGTTGGAATGCCCTGTATACTGAGCACCCGCTATGACAAAAAGGAACCCACCAGCAGGTGTGAGGAGAACCCTGAAAGAGGCACCTCAAAGGCAAGAGTTTGTGGCGAATGTGGAGGACAGCATCAAAGGAGGCCGTTACAGGGACCCCATGACACACTCGGGAACCTGGCAGCAGCATGAGGATGGACGTACAGGGGCCCATGGCAGATTACGGGCCTGGCAGCAGCATGGGGGGCCCGTAATCTGCCAGGCACCCTATGACCAAATGGAACCCACCAGCAGTGTGGAAGGAGACTGAAAGTGGCACATGGCAGAGTGTGGCGATGGAGACAGCAGGCAATGGTAGGCCGTAAGGGACCATGACACACTCTGGACCTCTGGCGGAGCAGCATGAGGAGGCCGTACAGGGGCCCATGTACAGATTACGGGCCTGGCAGCAGCATGAGGACGATCGGTTACGGTGGTGGCCCATGGCATATTACGGGCCTTGGCAGCAGCAAATTGTGAGGGCCATAACCAGCACTCCTATGACAAAATAGGAACCCACCAGCAGTGTGGAGGAGGGACTGAAAGTGGCACATGGCAGAGTGTGGTGTATGGAGACAGCATCAAATGGGAGGCCGTAAGGGACCCATGACACACTCTGGACCTGGCAGCAGCCATGAGGAGGCGGTACAGGGGGCCATGGCAAGATTACGGGCCAGGCTATGCAGCAATGGTAGGGCCCGTAATCTAGCCAGCACCCTTATGGACACAAAATGGTAAACCCACTTACAAAGTCAGTGTGAGGAGACCTGCAAAGTGGGAACTTGGTGTGTGTGGTCTCTTCATTTTTGTTAACTGTTTGTCGGCTGTATTGGAGGCAGAGTGTGGCGATGGAAGACAGCAAGCAATGTGGAGGCCGTATACAGGGACCCACTGACACACTCTGGACCTTGGCAGCAGCATGAGGAAGGCCGCGGGGTACACGGGGTCCCATGTGCAGATTACGGGCCTGCGCGAAGCAAGCAATGGGAGCCCGTTTTAATCTGCCCAGCACACTTATTGAACCCAAAAATGGAACCCACCAGCAAGTTGTGAGGTAGACCTGAAATGAGGCAGAAATGAACGCATGCATAGCTGTTGGTCGAATGAGACGGACAAGCAGCAATGGGAGGCCCCCCCTTGTACACATGGACCCCTGACGACCACTCTGGACCTTGTGGCAGAGCAGCCACTGAGGATGCCGTTAACAGGGGCCCATGACAGATTACGACGGGCCTTGGCAAGCCGCATTTGAGGAGGTCGGAATAACGGGGGCCCCATGGCAGATATACGGACCATGGCAGCAAGCCTCAAATGTAGGTGCCGTAATCAGCCAGCACCCTAAGACAATATGGACACCCACACAGCAGTTGTGTGAGGAGAACCCTGGAAAGTGGGGAACTAAGGCCGAGTGTGGCGTTAGTGGAGGACCATCAGCAATGGAGAGGCCGATACAGGGAATCATGACACACACTGGACCTACGGGCAGCAAGCCAAGATGAGGAGGGCGGTACAGGGGTCCCCATGGCATAGTGGCGATAAGCCGTAGCCAGCTTAAAATTGAAGGCCATTATACAGAGGGCCTATGTTAAAAAATAATAACACTGTTATGTGGGCATGATTCATAGGCGTACTTTAGTCAGTTGTGTCTTGAAAACTGTGTGGTTTGAAAATCCAGAACTAATTCCACCGACTGATTTCAATTTTTCACATATCGTGCGTCCTCTCCCACTATGGGTGGACAAAGTCGTGACCACGCGCTGGAGTTACAATAACAATCCGTCCTTGCCCCCGCACTCGAAACAGCCGCGCTCCGAATGCCACGCTAAACTGGCCGGGCAATGAACAGCCCTTTCCAAGGGCAAATTTCCAAGCATACCTTGTGGGGCGCATAAGGTCAAGTATCGTTGCCCCGAGTAGTTCAAGTGTGCATTGTCTTCCATCGGTTGGCCGGGTGCTGTCCACGTAGGCCCGAGCCTGATGTTTGAGGTCCTGAGTGCTCGCTCCAGGTCCACCAGAATTGCTGCTTGCTGCTGCTTGCGGCTGGGTTAGTAAGTTTCCCTCACTTCACTGCGGGCTTGGTGAAAGAAGAGCTTTCTCAATCCATGCGGGGGGGGACTGCAGACTGAGGCTAGCAGCCGCCTGCTGGTGGAGTACTGCCACTGCTCCTAACCACCCCACCCCACCCCTTGCTGCACATGGCAGTGTCTCTGGAGGTATGGACCGTATTGGCGCAGAGAAGGCAGAGACCAACTGACTACATAGGTGGATTGTTTATATAGTAATTTTATTTTGGCCTGCCTCTTCAGCAGCTGTGGAAAAGGCCACCAATTTTTAGAACGGTAACGATGTGTCACGACAAGGTGTGACAGCCAAAATGTCATCCCTCTGTCCTGTATTGTTATGTATTCGGCCTGTCGACTACGCAAGGGCACAACACCGAGCATGGCTATTGTCCATTCTTGTGCCAAGGAAAGTGAGGGACCTCCCTGCCTCATCTTACACAGCATAGCTTGCCCACGGAGTGCGTCCTGGGTCTCACTGTCTCCCCTACCTCCACCTCTAACCAGATGCTCATTGCCTCCTCCACTCCAGACCCGCCTGAGTGGAAATAACCGACCCATTTCACCTCTATAAATACTGAAGCACCAATGTCCCCTCCTCTACCCTCACCTCCTCTTCACATCCTGTCCTGCCCCCACAGGGGTTGCTTGTTGCGTGGAGATCTGTGCGCCATCGTTCGTAACCGTCAACCCCTTACCAGCCATTGTTATAACAGCATTTGTATACCAGGACGTTGCAATCAGAGTAATTGACGTCGTTCACTGCCCATAAGTCCTTCACGACTCACGAATAGCGTGGCCGTCTCACAAAGGGCCTGCAGCAAGCGGCAGGTAGTCAACGCATGAGCTGCCAATGGCTGACAATCTAATTCTACTACAGGGGCAGTACCATTTATCCGCTATCGTAACAATCATGAAATCCGGTGAATTGGCCTTGTCGCTGTTCGTAAAATGGCGGTCTAACCATATGTTAGGGGTGTGAAATTCCACGTTGTTGCAACGTCGCATATCAGGCGACGGCTGTGGATCTCCGTTCTGCCGCAGCAGCTCAAGGAGGGTGGTGGCATTGCGGAGTAGTAATGGCTGAAAATGCATGCTGCAAAGTTTACGTGACTTTAAGGATGATCTAGCCAGTGGATGGTGGATGTTTAGGAACCGCTCTGACCAACCAGATTGTAACACTGAGAGCCATGCATGGCGCCACATGGCACAATTTTCCTTGGAACGCAGAGCAGACGACCAAGTTCTTTTTCCGTTCGTCGGTTCAAACATGGATCCGAATTTTCAGTGGTTGGCGCGAAGACATCCATCAGTCGAGTTTCTCTGTTCATTACACTCAGAAGTTCCTCCCCCTGTTGTGGGGAGACTTGCTAACGTTCGCCATAGGCAATACCAGTGTGCAGCACAGCGTGACACAGTTGCGCCCTGCACATGTGATATGCCGTAATGGTGGCAGTAATGGGACTTGGCCCCACCCCAAAACGGGTGGTGGACGTCTGAGGACACGCGCGGACAGAAGAGGTGGTAGAGGCGTACATCTTTGCTGGACCATATGACGAGCAAACGTGGATAGAGGCAAAAGAGCGGCGTGAACCTGTCCAAGTTTGCATGGTCGCGGCTGCTTTGTGCCCCGGGCAACCACGTTTCACCCAGTGGGCCGTAAATGACCATGTAACTGTCCACCCTGGACCGTAGTTACAAGCTCCATCATACGGACGGCAGCTGCGAGCACTTTGGCAGAGACCGAACTATGCTCAACAGAACTTTGGCCCACACCACATCTCTTCTACATGATGAATGCAGGGCTGGCACTGAGCCTTTTTCGGCGAAGAAAATGCCTGCTTGGCACTCTCCACCGCGTCGCCGGCACAAGCCATCTCATTCTCTCGAAAGTGGAAGGTGACTGAGTTCCACCCACTTGGAAAGGAGATGTACTGCAGCACCATCAACTAGGAACAGTGAGGCGCATCAAGAGCTTCTGCACCGTCGTGTGCGTGCGTCGCAAACTGTTTGTCTCTTGGGAAACATTATTTCAAAGAAAAGAATGACTGCTGACGGAAAATCCCGTGGAAGAGGAGAGTAGCAGGAGGAAGGCGCATCTGAACGAGCGGAAAGATGCCAACGAAGCGACAACTTCCCTCAGCAGAGGTGATTGGAGCCTTGACATGGCTGATAGAGGGCCGATAGACGACACGGTGACGGCAGCAAAGTAAACGGAGCGGTGGTTGATGGTTTGCGGGGGCAGGAGCGCCCCCAGGCAGAATCTTTATCACCGGTTTTTTCACCCCAGTCCAACCGAATCGGCAAACGCTGCATATGCTACGCAACGCAGTTTAGTCCCAACATTGGCCTCCATGGCCACTGGCTTTGACTTTCTGGCCAACATAGTCGACATACGGCTACGTTTATACTTCCTTCGAGGTGGCTTGACGGAAAACAATTGCCCACACCGTTACCGAGTAGCGAAAACTTTGCCGCCCCCGCAACTCACTCGACTGGCAGACTGCTCACTCTTCTCTCACCCAGTGGGAGCACACGGCACCACTTACTGGCCGTGGTGAGTAGGCTGCAGTGGAGCTAAGTGCTTGTAACTCCGAGGGCCGGGTTTGCCTCCACTGAACACTAGCTGCGACCCAGCATTGCCCTCCTGGGCAAACCAACCCATCAGTTTTGCTCGCTTGCTGCCAAGCTGTCACCCTCTTCACTCCTGATTAAATGCGGAAGGCAATAGCCTGATGAACCGACGAGGCTGCCAAGTTCGATTCAGCCTCATCATCCATCACAATTAGGGTCTCCGGCTCACTACTAGCCCTCCTCCCGGCTGCGTTGTGTGGTCAGGGAGACAGACCAGTCTCTAGACCGTCTACCGAGCGCTTCTCTACCTCATCCAGTACTTTCTTCGCCTGGCGCTGCTGAAAGAGGGCCGATAGTCTCTCCCCCGTACCTTGACCGCACCTCTGATAGACTCTTCCTCACAGTAAACAGAAGGTCTGAGCCCACAGTGCATGCTGATACTTCGCAATGGTGAGGCTGACCAACAAAGGCACAGGGGCAGGATATAGTAGGGAACGTGAGTTTCAGTGGGCTTGCTACCGGGTCATGCCAACTAACTTTTCGGTTGTGATCCTGACGTACACCAGCCGAGCCGTCTGTGCTGTAGGTGTTCAGAGGGTGACCTGGGAAGAGGAAGGACAGGGATCGCAGCACCAACTCAATCGCATT